AATAACTATATGCGTTAAGTCTGTTATGTCCGTGGTTCGAGCCAAATCTGGCAGATAAACATAACAGCCTTTTGTGTGGATTGTACCATGTTTCTATTCCCGTAGTATAGACCTCTTAACAATGGCGAGACGGCTTGTGACTGTTAATCCGACATCGCATTAAATTTGACTGTTCGTCGTATGCCAATGATGGGTTTCGAAAATGTCAGTTTCCATCAATTACTTTGCCTGAGCGTACTCAGTTTTCCGTGTAATGCTCTGTCCTGTTACACACGGGTCACCCTTACGATGACCAAATGTAGTAGTTAGTAAAAGAAGCTCGCATTTAGTATGTTTGAGTTCACCTCATTTTAATTACGTAAACAGCTTATACCTACAACAAATTCAGACAAAATTTCCAATGATATTTTTCCATCTTCCCCCCTTGTTGTAGGCACGAGGAGTTGCGACGCGTATTTGGAAAGTACGGGCACTTACTAGATGTTACGGTGCCCGTTAATTTCCATACCGGTCGACCAAAGGGCTTCGCTTTTGTGGAATATCCTTTTACTTAGAACATCCTTTATTTGTTATGTTCCATATTCTCTATTAGTATGCTTTAAATTTCCTTAACTCGTTCAAACGTTTGAAGACAGACGTGATGCCGAAGACGCAATCCATTATCTCAACCAGACTAAACTGTGGGGCCGCGAAATATCTGTCGAGTTTACCCGTGGCAGTAGAAAAAGTAAGTGGTTCGAATTTTCTCCTGCAGAATTCATTTTTATTCCTAGACGCAGTTGTTTGTAACTTCTATAGCCCTTTAAACAGTAAAATTGCCCCTAAAAATGCTTTTCTTCGTAGGCTTCAATCATCGGTTTCTGTCTTCTAAAAAATGCTTTTCTTCGTAGGTTTCAATCATCGGTTTCTGTCTTCTTTCGCGCCTCTAAGATGTGCTTTAAATGCTTGTCTTTTAGTGCTCGCAACTTCTCTCGCGTAAAGAGTTTGGTAGATCCATGACGCTACTTAAATAGAATGGCAATAATTTCTCTTTCAGTCACTGAAATGCGACTTTTTGGCCCGGTTAAGGTTCCCAATTCAATGCCCATTCATTCAATTTCAATGCCAATGCTCTATGGTTCTGTCTATACTGCCACTGGAGTG